ATTTACTTATTACTTGATAATTGCTATTCATTATATTATGTTCTTGCTGTTACCACTTTTACTGTTGCATGAATTTTGCCATCTTATTAACATTTTTTCCATTTTTGTAGACTGGTGTAAACCGTTGGGAAATAAATAAATAAATAATTATGGTTGATTCACCAGTGATATGCAATTAGCAAACAGTTAATATACAGTTAGTTTATTCACTCGACAGTTACAGTTATACAACTTTTACAATTACATATACGTCACTCAAGCTAAAAACTGGATGAAAAGTTAACTGTTGAATATAATGAATTTGATTAACTGTAAACAAATAGTAAGAAGCATGAACCGAAGATGTTTTTAGTTACAGTGGTTTCTAAGATCTGTCAAAAAAAGATTATATATGTTTTTAATAATTTAATAATTAGGTAGGCCTATCATTCGTGGTGTATTTACGAGGTCAAAATTAAGTATATTTTATGTTACAAAAGCACACTTTTTTTAATATTTTTGTTGATGTGTAGTCTGTTTTAAAACTAAATGTCTATGCCAAAAGGAATTTAACTCTGGACGTATAAGGGATTACGATGAACCCCGGGATAAACTTATTATGTAATAACTTGTTGCCATTAAATTAAAATTATAAACAGCCTTGAATGAAGGCAAAGATTCCACATACCAATTAATTGCTGCTAAAGGATGTATTTTTTCCCAGAATCAAACCATAAAATAAGTAAGAGGAAAATGCGTTTCTTTATGAGTTCAAATAAATCTATCAAGTAGCCTATATCTAAACATAAACTTTATTGCCTCAATATTTATTTGAAAATGATGATTCCTTAATTCCTTAAGTGTTGAAAACACAATAATCATTTACATGTGTACTGTAGGTTTTTACGATGGTGTAAATAGTTTAAAAACAGCATTAGAATAGATATCGACACACGACAGTCATCATCTGGGCCTATCGCCGACCTATTTAAGTTTAGGAGTAGTATGTGGATGTTCAGAAATTTATTAGATTTTAATTTAAATTAAACCAAATAGTGTTCAAAGAACTATTTTAGGATGTCTCTGTATTAGCACCAGCTAGTTTAATGTTTGTTGCCCATGCAAGAATTGACATTCGCTATATCCAACAATTTTCGTCTGGGAATTTAAATTAATAAGAAACAAAACCTGCAACCCATTGCAGATATTTTAACGTCTTTCTTTGTATTTCTTCCCTTTGAAAACACCGCGTTGATTCCCACATTAGGCAGTTTCAATGAAGGAAGGAATGTTTAGGTTTGGTGGTGAAAGAAGACAGTTGCTCAATCACCTGCAATGCCCTCATCTATTAATATTCTCGTTAGCATCATAAATACTTTGTTATACAACACGACTGCGAAACGCACGGAATATTGGGAAACAGTGGCAAAGCTATTTATTATCTCGCAAACAAGGTGCCTCTTGTAAATACCCGTTTAGTTAATGATAATAATTAGCCAAATACTTAAATATTCTCGATTAGAATTTCGCAGTTTGTTTGGAAATGGTGTGCCTTGTATGGTTAGTGTTTAAAAGTACAGTGTAGGTTAGTTTTAGGATGTAGTTAAAATATTTTGAAAATTATAGGCTTTGGCAATAATTGAAATTGCTCTTCCAGTATCCCGGAACTGTTTACATGTATAGGGTTTAGTCACATGTTTGCAAAAAATGTTAGTTTGGAAAAGGCAAGTCAAATTTAAGCGAAAATCTACATTTCTTACGTCTAACATAATATCTTCATTCAGCATTGGTAACGAAACCATTGTCTGTAAGAATCATCCTTATTGTGTTTCAATAAAGAAATACTTTGTATACTCGTAATCCTAAGTGCGCATGTGCAATACTTGTAAACCGGAAAAATGGTACAAAATGTAAAAGTCTTCTTATATAAATATACATTTTGGATATAAATACAATTGGCGTTTCTGTCCCAATGTGATTTAATCTTAAAAGTCAAATCATCAATGTAATTACTGTAAAATTGGACTTATAAACAATTAATTGTAAATAGTGTATTTACTGAACTTAAAAACCCTTAAAAAAATGAGGTTAGGAACTATTGGTGCAAATTAACAAAAAGCACTACTTAAAAGTCTTTCTACAAACTAGAATCGTCCAATTATTGTTTAATCGTCTATACAGACCAAACATAATTAACATAATTAATTTTACCATATACGGATGAGATATAGGTGTATTATTTTTTTAGTTTCGCAAATGTAAAGGATGAAATATAAAATCTTTTGAGCTGCTGACCAAGCCAAGAGATAGCAAGTGTGGTGGTTAAAGCCTCTGAAATCATTGTTCGTCCAAGGATTATCTGTTGAGGATTTTGGCTAAACAACATTGCTTACAGAAAACTATTACAGCGCTTATTAATTATGTTTAGGTAATAATATTCTTCACTTAAAATCTTCCACACATACAAAGAAATAAATGTTGTTTAAAAAAAGGGTGTAATTGATTTTTTTATTTGATCATTTCGTGACGTAGAGTCAAAAATGTATTTGACTTTAAATGGTGTTGAGTAATAAAAATATAACCTTATAGGTTATAACGTATAAGGTTATAACCTATATAAGACTTATAAACCTATATAGACCTATATAGACTTAATACATTAAGTCTCTTCACACCTTGGACATGAAACGCCTCCATAAATCCGTACGAGAGTTGCTGAACTTAATCTCCCTTCATTATTTGTATTCAGGTTCAGGAGGATGATTGGGTTTGTATTTCCAGAAGTTAATTGATCTTCCAATTCCATATATAAATTTTGAAACTTTGTTTTTAACCTCAATCATATATCAACTAACTATTTAAAAAAGATGTACATTTAAAATGGTTAACAGTAAACCAGTTCAGCTTTTACACAATGCAGCCTACGTAGGAAAACCCTCAAGGCTTTCCTAATGTTCACCCCTTACTTTGGAGACTTATCACTCTTACAAAAATCAAATTCTTCCAATTTAAAAACTAACAAAGAACAAATTAAGTCGAGAGATCAGGGTAGCACATGTGCAAATAATGAATTTGAATAAGTCCATTTTAAATGCACTTTGAACACCTAATTAAGAAAACCTTGAATCTTACCCAATTCTCAAAGCGTCAGACTGTATGTAGCTCCCGAACGGGATCCTAACCTAAACGATCTTTTCCTACAGTTACCTAACAATGTACATGTTCTCTCACTGATTTAAGAAAGCAAAGTGGCCAATTCACTCATCAGTGAGACAATGTTAACATTGTCTCACTCTAATTACTTTGTCTCACTCCAGATTTGCAACGTGAAGGCACGAAATAGTGAGCGCGTAACATGCAGACAAGGTCGTATGCGCGCGAAATACGTTGGCAGCACTGGCTGTAAATCAGCTGGTCAGCTGTTGTATTGTTGTATTTGTTACTTCACATTAAATGTCATATTAAAAGTTCACTTCTGTGTAAAAATATGTTACGTTTCTTTACCAATTTATTTGTTTTATGGTAACTGTAGGAAAAATATAATGTGCAACTCGAGTGCAAAGTGCAATTGCCTCACTCGAGAAACCATTCCTCACTCGCCTACGGCTCGTGAGTAATTATTTCTCTCGAGTGAGTCAATTGCTCCCTTTGCTCACTAGTTGCACAAATAACTATTAAATCTATTCATGACCAAATATTACTAGAGCTAACTTAGAGCGACAGCTTTTAATATGTCAGCTAAATAAGTTATTGATTTTAATGTCTAGTTTATTTGGAAAACTTTGTCAATCACTACGTACACTATACGACACCTTTTTATTACAACAATGACTAGATACTGGGCCCAGCTGTTCTAGATCATCGGGCTATCCATCAATAAACTGATTTGGTTTAAGGCAACCAGCTGATCTTAGTCAGTAAACATTCACCATTTCATTAATTCAACACCCATCCCTTACTTATGTTGGTATTACAATTCTAGTACATACCCTGATGTGACCTCAAATAAATAAATCTGAGTCAATCTTATATTGATCATGCGTATAATTTGATTTAGTAAAAGTTCCTTGGTTTCAATGACGGATTTGAATATTGATGTATTCTATCAAATGTTGTAGCCCTTATAAATTATTCTAAAGGTGTAGGATCTATTTTCTTCCCTATATTCGGTTAAGTTCAAAGGTATCACATGTAAAGATGGGTGGAGGGCAGAGTTTGTTAAGTAACATAGTTATTTAAAAAATTGTTGTAAATCTATATATTTAATACACAGTTGTAACACTGTTTTCTCAGTAATTACTGGACCGATCTACAAGATTTATGTCTCAAATTAAAGGGGATAGTGTGTAGATTTGCCGAACTTCCTTAGAATTTACGTTTTTTCTAAGGGCTACGACCTACAGCCCTTTAAAGGTCGAGTCAATACAATTCTTATTGAAGAATATAATACACAGTTTATAAATTATTCGTCAGCTGTTTAATGTTTGTCAGACATTTGTTATTATTTTTATAACCTCACTTTCAGTATGCAATTATTAAGCTTGGAGTTTCTGTTTATAAACACACGATTTTGATCAAGGAAAGTGTATTCGTTAACTTATTTTGAAATGTTTTAGTGTTCTATCCGTCCCAGTTCTGCAACTCATAACTCATTACATTATAAATCCCCGTGCCTTTCATCTATTGGTCACTTGTAGTCTAGGAAGCTGCAATGATGGTTTACCTTGTAGATTATTTTCTGACACTTCTTTTGATGAAATGTTAAGGTTTTTGTCCACTTTTCAAAGTGAAATTTACATTACTAATTTACGAAGACCACGACACACATGTGCAAATTTTAAGCTGAAAAGTGTAGGTTGGATACCAACTATTTTTCATTTTTCGATCATCAGGCAAGCATCATGACTGCTAAGGTACCTTTATTTAAGTACCGTGTTCTTGTTAGGTAGCAGTGCCCCTAGGAAATGAAACAAGCACTTATAGTCTACCACAGTCTAACAGTTGGTAATAAATCACATCAATATGCTTGACAAGTTATTTTATTGCAAAAATATTTCACAGTTAAGATCACAAACTTATTCTACGCTCCTCCACGGGTGCTCTTACTTTCTTAACCACAGTTGCTAGATTCACTAAATAAATAATACAAAACGTAGTCATAATTTGGCAAGACTGGAAAAGCACTAGTGGCTGAGTTTGTATGATACACGTACAAAATTATCTAGCTTACTTACAAACTTAAACGTAGGTACAAAACGATAAATAACATATACACAACTCCTAGGGTAGTCTGTGGCCGGCCGAGGTTCCGTCACCGGTATGAGGGATGGCAGTGGGGCGAATCAAACCTTAGGGGTTTTATTGTAAGGTAACTGAATTACGGAATTTCGGTAAGTCCAGTGTATGGTTGAACGCCGGCCACTGAGGATTATGGGTAACACAGTCTAGTATCCTCCTCCTGTCACTCCCTCGGGAGCTCCTGCCGCGGGGTATCCCTGGAAGTCACCGCCGCCGCCGGTCACGGAGGGTCCGGGAGCGCTAGGGTACCCACCGGGTGATGGCGGGCTGGGGAAGCTGCCGGGGGCTGGTCCAGGAGCTGGGCCGGGGGCTGGGTACGGCGCTGGGGCGGGCGCTGGGTACGTTGCTTCACCCTCGTACTTGACGTCCGCGTGGAAGCCGGTCGCCCAGTCAGCGACGTACGTCACAATCTGTGTTCGGCCGTCCGGCAAGTTGACTCTGTATTCTCCCTTCACCTAGACATTCAGTAAGAGTTATAGTGTGAAACGGTAAAATATACTACGACTTGGTACAAAAGTACAAAAAAGAATGGTTTCCACCTCAACTAGTTCCATACAAAAGAGCCAAATTAGGGGATGCAACAAAATCTGTGACGAGTGCTCCATTCTGAATAATTTAAATCAATAGTCTCATTACTTTTGGCGTTTTTCAACAATCCAATTACTAAACAACGATCTATATCTACCTTTGCATTTCCTTTCATATACAATACCAGAGCGTTTATAATTTAAGCTTCTGTCCAAATATTAAATACCACAATAGGCATAAAATATTGCAAAAAGAGTGAGACGTACATTGAGTTTTTGGAAAGATCATTTAACAGCAATAGAAATAATTCTGCGCTAAATAGGCTGAGAACAAATTATTTTGTACAAAAATTGAAGATTAAAATACGAGAGTGGGGTTAGATACCTGTAAGTATCAAAGAATAAGCACACCCAGGAGATGTAAAGAGAATTTTTTTGTTTAATCAGTTTTTAAGAAATTTTAGTGTGCAAATAAAGAAAAGAAAATATATAGTCATTTTGGATTGGGTAACCAGAACAATGTTTTAACGGTAATAAAGGATAACCAGTACGTAAGTTTACCTGATCACCGTCGCTGGCAGCGTTATGCGAGTAGTAGGCCATGTGGATTGGGTCGTTGACGGCATAGTCGAACTCGAACGGCATGCCGGGAACATGAGGCATGTTCAAATGCGAGTCCTGGAAAAGAAGAATAAGTTGTAAGTAAATTCTGTTTTTCAGATGTATGGTTAACTGTGAAGCACCATAGCTTCCCAGCTATTTAAACAAATGTTGTGCTAAAGTGTGGGAAAAGAATGCTATCCTTCGTTAAATTAATACTTAGATTCATATAAAAGTAAAATTATGCATATTATTCATATTGCACAAAATGATAAATATCACTTTTGAAACCTAACATGGATATTATTTTCGAGGCAAAGATGAAGGTCTTTACAAAACCAGGGTTTGGACTGTTCCCTTTCAAAAAATAAACACAAATTACTATGGAGCAGCAACAAATAGAAATGAAAACAACTATGACAGTTTGTGGCATAACACAATGGAGAGTTGAAGTGTGGGACAATTTCCTCAGCCAATATTTACATATGTTACGCAAGACCTGGTTTTGTTGTCATATATTTGCTCATTAGCCACACTCTTCCACCTAATTGGCACAAGCGGACAGTCTTCCGACTTCTTTCTCCACTTAAAATGCACTTTACCTATAAAGAGAACTCGTGCGGAACACACACAGGTTTTCATTACTTCACTGAGTTACATCTGTATTAGGTTGAAAGCCTTGTAAGTTAAATCAGGAAGTTAGTGTGCCACTATTTTTTTTTTAATTTGCTATATTTTGGATATTTAAAGGACTGCTTGGTGATTTATTTATTTTGCTGGGCTTCTTTAAACACTTATTGGACATTTTTGGCATACACTGTAGTAGTAAAGAAACAATTATTAAGCTTTACCAAAAATAAAGATTTTTCTTAAAGAAAGCCTAATAGCTTAGGATAGCTACTCGGATATTGTTTTAGTGGGTTTATGTTGAGAAGGACAACACTTTTTGTCAGAATTTAAGTGTACGAATCTTCTTAGCCAAGTATCTAAGATTCGGCTCAAAAGTTGCATTTGTTCAAAATAAAAATGTATAGTCGGTAAAAAGAGATGCATCTATTTTTCCTCTACCTAAACATTATTCTCACTATGTTTCTTGGTAGGCTCACAATCACACCATCCCACAGTAAACAATATAAATTCTGCAAACATTGAACCATGAACCTGCTAGTAATATTTTAGGATAGTCTCATAGCTTAATCTAGATAGCCGAACATGAATATAATTCAATCCTGAAAAAGTAGCTTTTTAGACGTTTGAAATTGAAATAAACAGTCATGGCTAAAGAAGAGGCTTATCATAGGCAGCAAGAAGACCCTCATTTCACTCATAAAAAACTCATCCTTCACTCACACCCCCTTGAAGGTGCGTTCACTGGTGTGTCGGTGTTAAAAGCAAACCATTCAACAACCATAATCTAAATAGCACATACGGAAGGAAAGTGCAATTGCAAGCGATCACATTCCAGTCCCATACCAGACTCCGATTGCTATTAGTGATTTGCTCTCGGCCAGCGGCAGTGGGCGGAGACCTAATGGCCAATGATCGACGATCACTGATCGTGGCACTTTCACTGACTACCGTGGACTTGGTAATGTGGGATGCTGGGATTCCGCTGACATTTGTAACCAGGACACAAGGACGTGTGCTGATTTTGATTCTGGATTTGTATTAGGAGCAAAATTGAATCTAGTTCCCAATTAGTATCACATCCAGCCTATGTGCTTTTACAACACGATAGTATTGGATTTGAATAGTGTACAACATTTTATCCTGTTGAATCTGGGGCATGTTCATGTGTTTCTTGATGGGGACATTTTAGTGTTTTAATATAGACTAAATTGTTTCGTTCTGATTTAATCTGTGTTTTAGCGTGATGTTCTATAATGCCAGAGTATGAAGCAATAAGTTCAAATAATTTAATACCAGATAATTTAATTTTGTCTAAACGAGTTTACAAGCTGGTAAAATAACAAAAGGCTGATCTACTTTTTTCCTATATTATTCTATTTAAATTATTTATGACTCATATTTTGCTGCTACACCACGCACGCTACCGTATCAGTATTATAATTGGCCAATTTATGTTTTTGTGTATTTGACGACTCTTCAGTTATGAAAAGGATTTGGACTATTTGTTAACTGGCGACAGCTTGAAAATGAACCTTTAGGTTCAAAACCTGGGTCGCTGACCTAAGCCCGGGTCACTGAACACCACAGGCATTTAACCTTTTATTTGTAAATTAATCAGATACAATAAACATTTTTCATTTACATTTATTTACATTAAAAAAGTTCGACTTAGCTTGAGGATAAGTAGAGGGGCGTCCAAACATTGTCAACATAAACCTAATACAGACGAGGTGTTAAGAAATTAATTATTTCAACACATTACTTAGATGAAGCAATGTTGCAAAACCTCACATAATTACCCGGAACTCCCCAAATTATTGCGCAAAAAACTTGTGACACATGAAACTTGCAGATCCCCACATGCGTCAATGTCGTGCTGTGAGAATACCCCAGCCTACTTCCCATGTTGAGCGTGTCTTTATAATATTCACCACAAACAGATGACGTAATGGTGCGAGCCTCACAATTAGTGTTACCGGCAGTAACCCTAAACAACAACCTGCATCCTGCCATCTACTGGTAGTAAAGATTATTACGGTCTTTCATTGTTTGTAAATAATATAGCTGGATGGATATGTTGTTATGCATGTCTAGTTATAACAGTAGGTTGACGATTTAATCCTGAGAAAAGTCAGTAGCTTTTTCGTTTGAAACCTAACTTCAGCTGTTCTTAATAATTGAGCTTCAAATACATGATCTAGTCAAAGAAATTGAACTGTTATCACTCGATGAAAAACCTGAAGGCTAATTTCACTCATCTTTCATCCATAAAAAATACGCACCCAGGGTGCGTCACTGAGTTTACTGGTGGATTAGTACAGCGGGTGTTAATTTTGGAAAGGAAGTTTTGGAATATATTCGTGGCTAAGTATTGGCAGTAGGGATTGCGAATGGGGGTTCCGCCAAAATGTTTCCTGAATAGTTTGATGCTACTTACCCTCTTGCAGTTATATTTTTTCATTCCTACAACTATGTCAAAAATCTTTTTGAATATTTTAAAGCTCTCAATTGTTGGTAGAATTCCATTGAGCAACTATTGCAGTCTCTGAAGTAATTAAAACTTTGACTGGATGATAAGATAGAATGTAGTATATGCAGGTTTTTCTTAATTTTTTTTAGTCATTCCATTTTGTATGAACCTAATTATTTAAATTCAGCTGTATTAAATCCAAAACCATTAAAACAAGGTGCTACAACCCCTATAAGAAGTCTTTTCCATCGACGAGAGGAAAATCGTTCGTTTGTTAGTCCCTCTGAACGTCTTTGACACTGAACCAAGACTCCGACCTAGATGTCATTAGGTCCATTCTTTACCGTGACTGATGTTGTGAGCGTCTATTGCGCAAGTACTGTCTAGTAGTACGTTGCCGCACCACCATCCGTCTCCAAGAGAAATGTCCCCGTCCTTGGACATTGAATAGTTCGAGGATGTTCGCTATCTACCGGCCTACCATGCAACCTAGGGAGAACAAGCCTGCCGATGTATAGACCAGAGCCGTGTTAAAGATAAATCACTGGATTAATAAATAATTCTAGATGGGAGAAAACTTGAGAGAGTATTTAAATCAGAATATGAGGTTATGATTGTATAAGATGGCCTGGATAGTTTTGTTATGACTAAAATGTGAGTTTTCATTCAGCCAAGATAGTTTAGGATCAATAGATCAGTTACCAAACCACCAAATACCTATTGAAATGTTTCATGGTCGAGCCAACAACCTGTTGGTTACTAGACAGTACCACGACCAACCAGCGTCCCTGATTCATGTTTCATCGAACGATTTTCATGTTACCTAGTCAAGTGTGTTTTGAAAAAGTTATGGATTGTACAATGCTATGAATGACTTAACCTAATAGTACTTAGATATAAGTACGTTGTAGAAAGAGGGTTGTAGTAGTAGATACACGGGCACGTAACCTAACTTCATAGTCCATTCCAATGTTATATGTCATTCCAATACTTTATTAACTGTCACCTACTCACTGTAAAAAAAAATAATAAAATAATATGAATCCATGATAAACTGATGGGTTTTAAGTTCAAGCTGAACTAATTTGACTTCGAGTAATTTAGATTTTCAATGAACTGCAATGACTTTAGGAATTGGGAACACCATCTATTAGGGGTTCTGCTCAGTGGCTTCAACAATGAATTAAGCTGCTTACAATAACATTATAGTTGTCGTGTTCCATTTTTCTGTGAAATGCCATGACTTGAGGGTAACTGATCTGATCGTTAAAATGTAAACGATCTATTGTTGAGGGCGATGTGAATGCTCAGGAATAAAGATGTTTAAGTTTACCAATAGTTGCAGAACATGCTTGTTTGGGATGGATATTCAGCTATGGTGATTGCATGGGAATATTGCTGGGAACATTTTCACATAGAACTACTCAGCCCAAGGTGAATATAGCAACTAACAAGGTGTGTAACTTTATATGACGCATTGATATGTACGTTTATTACTGTATGTGGTGCAAGGGATGGAACTTGAGGATGTTGGGTGGTATGTCGGGTTTTCAAGTGGAAGTATGTATCCCTAGTGGCAGTTTGGGGTGCCGGATTTGTGACAATAGGGTAAAAAGTCTAGAGGTTAAACGTGAGATAATGTCGTAAAAGTTCGTGTGAAATATTAAGTGTTGGTTAACGGTGTCAGGCGGTCTTCAGAGGTTATTGTAGGTGGCAGTAGTTCGTGTTTTGTAAAATAGAACATACAGGAATCTTATCGTGAGGTTTTTCTGAGTAGTATGTATGAGGCGTTAGGTGGTAGTTATATATTAGGTAATAGTTTGTAGGTGGTAAAGTTGAGAGACAGAGGGTAAAACTTTCAATGATCATGAAACCATGTCAAAGTAGTTGTGAACTGTAAGGTGGTAGTTGAGTCGTATAGTGGTAGTTATAGGTATTTGATGAGATAGTAGTCCCTCTAGATGACAATAGGTGGTGCAAGTCTGGTGACAGACAGGGGTAGACCGTCCAGGGGCTGACCGTGAGGCGGTGTCGAAAGTGTGGAGTGAAAGGTCGCGTCTAGCAGTCACGATCGTACTTGACATTAGCTAGCAGCTTTATGTGGCTTTACATGCGGGTAATGTGTTGCATCCTGTCGTGAAGATGTGCCTCATCCTCACCCCCCTGGCACATTCCTTCCCCATCTAGGGGGCGGCCGTGTCCATCTTAACTAGGGGAGGTTCAGAAGCTGGTGCATGTTTTGACCTTGAGTGGTTCAAGGTAGAAATGGTTAAGTGTTCCTATCTCAATTTGATAGGTCAGGATCGTAAAATAATAGGTCGAGGAAAATAATACCAAAATCAATTGCGATTATAAGAATGATGTTACTATCTGATTTTGAGTTTAAAAGTGTTAATTTCGAGAAGAAAGTTTTTGATTGCGGAATAGTCTAAAAACATTCTTGTGGCATCTTAAGTCAGTGGTTTGACCTACGTATTGTGATTGTATAAAGTCTCGTGGTAAGTAGTGTTATAGTGGTGTTTATACGGTGTTACGAGTAGTAAGACAATAGGTTATCACAGTATTGTGTACAGTGACCTTGTACTTATAAGGCCTCGAGTAGGAGATGCAACTGTGGCATGGTGAAGGTAGCTAACCTCCAACAGCCAGGCCACATACAGTAAACTGATCGTATGTAAAAAATATAACTATTTTTGTATTTATTTGTAAATTGCATTTTTACTAGAAGCTCGTTATACCACTTTTCATTCTGGTCAGCTGTAAAATACTGGCACTCATTGTTAAAATTTACTTTATTCTAAAGGTAAAACTTTCTGAAACAGTTCGGTATCCATCACGAGCTTTGTGTTTGCAACACTGTGTAACATTTATTTTATGTTAACTCATATATTTAGAATCCAATACTATAATATTTAAAACAAAATGACAATCCCTAACCTAAGCTTCCCCATATTATATTTGAGCTCATTCTGGATAACACATGTGATATGGGCTAAATATTTGATAAAGGGCGAGATGCCTTACAAAAAAGGCTCAAAGACTTTATCCTTATTGGAAATCTGCGATATCTTTTTGTTTTCAACACATCTAATGTTTTCCCTCCTTGGATGACCATCAGAGTTGGTCCGGGTTTAAAAAAAAGTCTCCGGTTTATTTAAGTGGCACAGGGCAGTCTCAGGGTATAGGATCGTCGTGGTAAACATGGTGTTAATTGGTAGCTGAGGTAATGAGTAATGAGTACACAGGGTTGCAGCATGCGGGGGAGTGTCGCAACGGTCGTGATCGCCATTCGTGCTCTTTGTGATGCTGAATATCTCAGTTTTGATATTTCACCGGCCTTCACACTTAACTCCTTCACGTGGTCGACTTTCCTACACGAAGGTCCACGACACGATCCCGAACTGCATTGATGAGAATTCCACTCTATTGGGTAGTAAAAGTGAATCTTGACCTACACTGGAATGTGTAAGAGATGCTTGCTTGGTTTATTGAAAATGTAATATATTTTTTTAGACAGACCCTTAGGATTAATTTTGCATCCCATTCAATATCTTAAACAATGTATGATTGCAATACTGGTTCTGTTTTACATTCCAAACAAATTCCAACGAAAAAGTTAGTTTTTTAGAAATATATAATTGATAAGGGGTTTTCTGGATGAAAACATCGTTTGCTTAAAGCCACTATTTCAGAAAAACTCGTAATTGGCTAAACAAGTTACTTGAAAACATGGCCCTGCCGACTAAAAAGAATGTTTAAAATATCATAACTGTAACAGTTTAACGTGTCATCTAAATTTCGATATTGGTGATTGGATGATCTCATTGTAACAAAATGTACAATTTGATACTGTAATTGTATTTTTGATCGGGACAAACTTATAAACAAAATCAGCAGAAATCAATGGGCCAGAAAAATGTACAGCTGTCCTATATTTCAATCGTAGGGACGAAAAGACTACTTTAGCACTTCAAATACAATTGGAACCAGCCGTTTTGAAGCAGTATGAAGAAAAGGGAATAGTTCAAAAGATGTTAAGTAATCAAGTACTCTGTTACAATACTCACCGGACCGTACTGGCCAACAGGAGCTCCAGAGGTTCCCCCTGAGGGAGGGTATGGTCCCCCAGGACTTGGCGGGGGCAGAGATGGGGAGGGAGGTCCTACGGGAGTAGATACTGGGGGGCCGTAGGAGCTGGGAGGCGGCGACGGCTGGGGGCTGCTGATTGACGGTGGAGGCCCGCTAGGTGGGGGCCGAGACACGGGCCCGGGGCCTGATGGGAATGGAACCTGAGGAGATGGGTAGTTGTAGCCCTTGTCTGGGGGTAGGTACTGGTTTGAAGGTCCTTGCGCTGTACATGCCGCTGCCAGGCACAACACCAAGGATATACTCTGGAACAAGAAAAAAACTGTGAGGAAACTAAAACATGCGAGGCTGGAGAGCATTAAACCCAGTCTGAACCAGTTGTAATAATTTGTTAAAATAAAAACTCTATACACCTTAAATATGAAAATAGGCTAACTTAATTTCGTGGTTAAAACTTCTATCATGGACAACAGATGCTTGTCAGTGGTTTTAGTTTATTCGATTTTATACTATGAAGGCAAAAGGTAAAATATAACTAGCTACCAAAATAAAAATGGTATTGTATATAAATATTAGAAAGAATAGATGGTTATGAACTACTTTTGTTGTAATACAGTAAATAGGATAAATTATTATGTTTAGAGAAAGGTATTGTTTTGGTAAAATAAATGTCCTAATACAGATCAATAATATTTCTTAGATTGGAAAGAAGGAAAATAGAACTGAACCATCTGAAATATATCGTGGTTCTATAAAATGTCACTTTCAACACGCACATATTACCTAATTAAAATAAATTAAATATTCATTCATTTATATCAACATATCACCGTTTTCAACAATAGCCCTAAATGATAAGTACGATTATGAAATATATAGTTTATTAGGATCAAGTATTGAACAACCTTTAGTATTGTTCATTGTATGCATTGTAATGCGTGAATATGGAGTAGGACCTTACGCAGTTCAGTGTTTGACCACGATTGGGATTTGGTAAACGATTGACCGCAATTTTTGTTACACAACTCGTCCAAACTCACGAACTCAATTGCTCATGTTCTGAAACTCATGTTTATGCGCAATATAGGATCTCATTGAATATTGATTTTACTTTTCACGAACGAGAGCTATGTTTTATCGCTTGGATGTTATATTATGGAGAACACAGTATAGTATAGTCTTTCCTTTACGTAGCTATAGGGGTCACATTTCTTTTCAATACAATGTATCAAAAATAGACAAACTAAATTATATCATTAATTTAAAGTAAATACACTTTTCTCATAAATTATTGTGAAAACAGTAAGAATTAGTATTACAAATTTATTATTGATTTTTTTAAACATTTTTTTAAACATTGTTTATTGGATTGTTATAGCGTACATTATTATGGTGATTCAAACACAAGTCTTGATGATGAAATTCCCGTGCTAACTACTAAGCTATGTCTTATCATTCAGCAATTATTAACATTAATCTTAATTCATCACTCATGCTGGAATGCGACCCATTAAAGACCAGAACCTTTAAATTTCGTCTTTAATTTACTATTTCAATTTTAGTCCACTAAGTTTACCGATGAACTACCTCCTAAAGCATGTCAAACAGAATATTTCGTCCTCGATTAACAGATTGGCCAATAACTGTGCTCATCATGATGATCGCCGCCATAACAGCACAACACGCATTAACACACGATGATCCCCCGCTTGCGCAAGCTCTCATTAAAGCTAGTTTCTGCAATTGCCCGGCCATCGTCTAGGAATGTAGAAACATGAAAGTATTGCAATGCTGACCCAGGAGTGGGTTCTGGTTACCGTATCTGCATCACTGATATCAACTGCGGTAGTTGGGCGTTCGATTAGTGAAGAAATATAGTTATTGAAGCGTTGAGGTTATCTTATCACAACTGGCTACTTAGGGTTTCTTGGCTTTGCTATCAAGTGGTCATTTTCTCTTATAGAGTTAAATATCTAAGCTTGATCTGTCCATATATTGAAAGGTAAGGTGTATCTGAGTGGTTGAGAGCTTATAGTGCTTGCCAAACCATTAAGGTCGACGAATCATAAGGAAAGTCAGTAGCTTTTCATACTTTGAAAATTGGCCGAGATGTCCTTGATCAATGTTTTTCAATAAATGATCTTTACTAATGAATAATGAGGTCTTAGTCAGCAACAGAGCTATATAAGGCATTTCACTTAACCCACGCTCATCTTGTCTATTCATTTGGATACAGAGCTGTGCACCCTATCATATAAGTGATACATTCTATTTCATGTTAATTCGGTTGTGACGTTCACAATATTTCCTTGATTGGATGTATGATCGGTTTAGTTATCATTATTAAAGACAGGTCTCACATTTATTATTTATTTTTAAGCTAACTAATTATATTCTCCTTTTTTGAAATTTGAAATAATATGATAGAAATTGTTAAAAATCTTTGATAATAAGGATTAGTAGAATGTAACATTATAGTTAATTGGTTTCAAGCTTTATTAGGAGAAATAACAACCTATGATTTTATTTGAGCTGATTAATAATTGAAATGTATTTTAGACTACAAAAGGAACGAGGTTTCTGAATATCAAGTTGTATTTACTGCCCTCAAAGTTTTAAAACACAACGGTTTGAAATCAATCCATTACAAATCTGTCAGCACGTGGCTACTTTCCTACTCCCAATTACCTTGTTGTTGAGCAAAAAATCTACTATTACTACTAACCTCACGATACAAAGGCTTGATTTGAACAAGCCTCTTCACAACCTGATCTCAGTTATCGACATTTTTCACTGATTCACGGTCAGTAACGAAGATCAGAAGAAGCTAAGTTCAGACCTTTAACAGTCACGAGTGAGCTAAAGGTAGCTTCAATTTGCCATAATGAAGACGCATTATACCAATTGTGGGGCCTTAGTCGGGGGGGGGGGGGGGGGAAGGGGGGGAAGGCCGAGGAGAGGCCGCTAGCTTGTATTAATTGAGGGAACCTGTCTTATCTTAAGGTTATCGGGACCGGTGTTCATCTTTGAACAACTCGTATTAACAGCTTTGCATGGATTAGTGGCTGTAAAAGCTCACCTCATGCTCATTTGTATTTCCAGATTCTAGACAATGATGCAGAGTCAATGAAGCATTTAGCTTATTGTATTTGTTAGATTAGGTTTCACTATGATCATGGAAACAACTTAACATTCCAGACCCGTGTTCAAATTTTAAACCTTTTTAGAGTAGAAATGAACATAGTTGAAAACCTCAGTAAACTGAGCTGCTTTATCTAACCAAACTTAAATATGAAAATATCGTAAACTATTATGGCACTGTTTGATTTCAGATCAACTATCATACATACAAACCGAGCACAACCCGACCGGTATTACAAATCAAGAGAAATTTTAATTTAAAGTAGCTTATTCCGAACGGGGGTGTTTAAACTATGTCATATTTATGGGAAAATTAGAGATAGCTGGGACATTATAGATGAGGGGTGTACCATGGTATTTAGTATTCGTTGGCTTCATAATGGCGCACATTATAATGAACTAACTTCATTATAGTGTTTATAGTATAATGAACAATATAATTTAAATTTTATATAGAGACGTCTTAGAGGCTTCACCTAAAGCTGAGGTCTATGGAATGTACTGTGTTTTGGGGTAACACAAATCACTATAATCAAAAATTAATTATAATAATTTATTTGGAATTAACATATTTCATAAGAAATTCTTACAATCAATAATTGTAAAGAAAATTAATTATAAACATTTTAAAAACATAAAGAATCAATGATTTATATTCCAAAAAAATAGGCAAATGGCCTTATGAGTGGCACAACCTATGATGTATCTATACCCTATGTACCTATACTATAATCAATTACTGTTTTAACCGCTTGAGTTTACCAAACCGCCTATCCTCCAGCGCCAAGGTGATATGTCTAGTCAAATGACGTCTGACGCTGACTAATTCCTATACGGTGTGTAATAAGCTGTATGATGATGTGTTTTATTACATAATGACTAGCTAGTAAGACGGGTCGTCCTTGTCACTCATGTAACGCCCCCCACGTCAGCAACCTGCGTCTCCAGTATGGACATTGACCTCTACGGGACATTAAGGGAGTTAGCAATGGGGGGTTGATCTTTTTCTAACAGTTCTTGGTTTGTTCGTATCTTTGCTAAGCTACATATACAATATACATCAAAGTTGTTGGCCCGCCATCGCATCCAATTACGCTAAGTTCTAGCCCGGGACCGTTTTACAAATGAGTTTACGCTAGGCATAGAGGGTTACGGCATTGTTACCCGTACATTGATTATGTTCATTAGCGATCGGTGGAATTTGAAACCGGGACCTCGGGTCCGAAGCTCCGCGCTCAACTTAAGTTTTACAAATATTGGTGCGTACCAATAAAATTACCAACTATTAATTTTATTAACGTCGAATGGGTTGTTAAAGGTGATTAAATTACCAAAAATTGTGTTACTTTAGGAAATGGTATGCTGAAATACTGTCCATTTAAGTGTCTTAGTTAGTTTAAATAATATTATACGGATATAAAATGTTTGTCAACTAAAAGAGAGATTTTTTTAAGTTTAGACTTATGATTAGTTTGAATATAATAAATTACTTCTTACTAGTTTTTTTTTTCATTTTATATGATATTAAAAGGTTATGAATTTGACACATCTGAAAAGATGGTTTAATTTCAATAAGTCCATAAATTGTAGGTATTGCGGTGATTACAAGGAGACATATTATTTACACAATTGAAGCAATGTGTTATAAATTATTATTTTTTGCAAACTGAAATATCCAATCTACTTTGAAAATTAAGGCTTCATTCTTATAATTTAACTGTTCCAATGTTTTTCTTTACTGGTACAAGAAGTTCCTAACGATTCCATACTGAAATGTTGTTTTTAAAAAATCATATGTATTATTAGGAGTTGGATTTTAACATCATTTGATAAACCTGAATATATGCCGAATATTAAGATTGGGGTCATTAATAAGGCTTAGGTGAATATTAGATGAACTGATAGTATTAATAATGGCGTGAGGAAGCAGACAAACAAAAAACACTCAATCGTATCAAAATTTAGACTTTAGTATTTGAATATTGCAATGTGATTTAGTTCCTCTGTTACACTTGAGGTGAACAAACACATTCAAATAGTAGTCATAATTGTACTTCATAAAGAGTAAAGGACGCAGAAGAAACTATTTTTTCTTAATAGTATTGCATTTAACAATATATTAAGTTACTACCTAGTAAAGTTGTGAGGCAAAATTAATAGCTTT